TACACTACAGACCAAGGTTTATCGAGCACGAGAGGGAGATGAGCGCTCATCTTCCCTCTTTCGTGTCTCAGAACGAGGAAGTATACAATGATTTATTCTCACTGCCTGAGTTAAAAGAAGCGATCTTTAAGAGTGGAAATACCTCAATGGGACCTGATAACCTCCATTATGCGTTTTTTAAACATCTCTCCCAGGAACAATTGGTACATGTGCTGAACATGATAAACTGCATATGGTGTGCTGAGGAAATACCGCAACAGTGGAAACCAGGGTTGGCATTTTTGCCGGCAAAAACTAGTTTATGCCATTTGCCGGTTTAAACCGGTTTTAACCGGCAAAAAGTGGCAAAAACTGGCAAAAACTAAAAACCATCACAATGATATGCCTGGACATGGATTTGAACATGAAACATTTTAAGGAGAATTCGGTGAAAGCTTTATGCTTTCAAACAGAAGTGACATTGACCGTTGAAGTGTTCTATAACTCAAAAACACTTCCATGGGCTTTCCATAAGGAACCACTAAGACACCTTTTGAGGTTGACAAATGAGCCAGTGCAAGAGCGAGTCCTGCACAATCAGAAGTGCGAAGGGGTATCTGCCACTGATATGGCACTGCACCCTACCGTGGCAGCTTTGCCCCACTCTCCCCTACATGGAAATACATTCTGTGGTGGATGTCTACCGACATGCATAGACATTTTAAGCAGGGATAAGTAATGAGGCAAACTTCAGAATGTTTGGTGCATCTCTATAACATCCAGAAATGCATTTGTACATTTCAGATCCATTCCTAACTAGAACAGTTGTGGTTTAAGCCACCTGAGTTTTATCCAGTTTTTGCCAGTTTTTGCCACCAGGGTTTCTGCCAGCCGGTTTAAACCGGTTAAAACCACTGGCAAAAACCAGTTTTTGCCACCCCCTGCCAACCCTGGTGGAAACACTCTATTATAATACCAATTCTTAAACCGGGCAAGCCAAAAGACGAGCCTGCATCCTACCGACCCATACAGCTTACCTCCTGTTTTAGCAAGATCATGGAACGGATGGTGACAAAGAGACTTACCTGGTATGTTGAACAGAACAGTATCTTATCTGAATTCCAGTGTGCGTTCCGGAAGGGAAGGAATACAGCTGACCATTTAACTCGATTGGAATCCGAGGTGCGGAAAGGATTCTTTTATCACCAGTATACATTGGCGGTGTTTCTAGATTTACAAAGTGCATATAACCTCACATCAAAAGTGGCCATCCTCCATCGTATGCATACCATTGGACTCCGCGGAAGGCCTATGCACTTTGTTAAATCTTACCTTGAGGAACGAACGTTCCAAGTTAAAAATGGCGTGCTCTCAAACACTTTCACTCAGGAGAATGGACTCGTACAGGGAGGCGTGATCTCCCCGCTCTTGTTCAACCTGATGATTAATGATATTTTTGCCAATATTCCTGAACATGTCTCATATGCCCTATACGCGGACGATTGCTCCATGTGGGTACGAGGTCGGCGGATTTTGCCTCTAATTGAAAAAATGCAGACAGCTCTGAACAGTGTCACCGAATGGACCGATCGTTGGGGGTTTGTCTTCTCCCCGAATAAGTGCAATGCCGTCATATTTAGGCGCTATATGAAAGAACAAGAACTGACTTATTTGCCATCACTGAAGGTTTATGACCAGCCACTCCCATACTGTGATGATGTGAAGTTTCTGGGTGTTATTTTTGACTCCAGATTGAATCTTACTAAACATGTGCAGTATGTTAAGGGTAAAGCTACTAAACGGATATCTGTCTTAAAATGCTTGGCCGGACGAAGCTGTGGGGCGGACCGGAGTGTATTGATACGCATGTATAAATCCATGATACGACCTATTCTTGATTATGCCTGCCAGATTCTAGATGGACCTCAGAACAAGGTGGTAGAATCACTTGACTCCATACAAAATCAGTGCCTTAGGATAGCAACCGGAGCTCTCCGTACATCACCGATCTTACCACTGCTGGTTGAGACTGATGTTCTTCCGCTGAGACTTCGGCGATGCGAACTAACTCTGAGATTTTGTCTTAAAGTTAAAAGCCGAGATACTCACCCGTGTAGACATCTTATATTGAGACATGCAGCTTTGCACCACGTGGAGGCGGCATATATGAAACGAATATCGGGATTTCCATTGTATGAACGTATGCTCCAGATGGTAGACGAAAGTGGATATGTATTTCCTGCTGCAATTGCACTGAGAGAGAGCCATATACCGCCTTGGCGTTTACAGAGATGCGAGATACTAAGACTTACTGATGAACGTAAAAGTTGCCTCGACAATCTAAAAGTCCAGTGTGATTTCCGTGAATTGAGACATTCTTATGCTGACTATGCCTTCATTTTTACTGATGGTGCAAAGGGCCCAAATGGTGTAGGATGTGCTTATATTCATGGTGATCGCTATGGGAAGTACCGACTACCTGTACAGTGTTCCATCTTCACAGCAGAGGCGACTGCCATTCTAAAAGCACTGTGCTACATTGAAACTGAGCGTGACAAGAAATGGGTGATTTGTACTGACTCCTTGTCCGTGACGATGGCCATTGGAAACCCTCCCTCAGCTAACCCTGTTATTACCGAGATTTTGGACCATGTCCACACTCTTCTTGATACTGGTTTCTCGATTATCCTGTTATGGATACCTGGTCACACTGGTATAACAGGAAACGAGACGGCTGATATACAGGCGAAGGTAGCCATGAGCCTGAATGATATAACTACACCACTGCTTGGGATGCGAGAGTTTTATCCTGCAATCCGCTCTACGATCAGAGATATGTTTGGTCGGTTCTGGGCTGATCACCCTGCTGGCACTACTCTGAAAGCTATCAAGGAGCGTGTGGAACACTGGTCTAGCAGTAGCCGACCCAGTAGAAGAGAAGAGGTTACATTATGTCGTCTGAGACTGGGCCATACTCGGTACACCCATTCTTATATCATTGATCGAGAGCCTAGACCACTGTGTGAAAGATGTCGCTGCCTGCTTTCTGTACAGCACTTTCTCATCGATTGTCCAATGTACGCCATCGAGAGACAACCATTGCAGCAACTGTGTCAGAGACATGCGGTTCAGCTGTGTCTGAAATCGCTGCTATGTGACGACTTTCCTGAGATATTGAACGAAGTGATGATCTTCTTGCGAGCGTGCGATCTTATGAAACGCCTGTAAACAGTGAATTAAGAAACAATAGAGCCAGACCAAGGCCCGAGACAGACTATGTGCGACTCACGTGCGATAGCGTATGTATACCCGACGCGTGTTTCTTTTTTTCTTTTCTTTTTTAATGCTGGAGTCAAAAGCCTGTGTGCATGGTAGTGCCTCTATTTACATGTAACACACTAGATGTAATATGAATGTTCTATGTCCTTTGTTTTGCATCTGTCTCCGTGTGCTATGTCCCACCAGTACTGTGGTCTGTGTTATGTGGAAGTGGTGCGTGGAAGTATGACTGATCGTGAATGAATGTACACTTCTTGACTGACAGGACAATCGACGGTGGTGGCACTTAAGACAGTATCGAGCGTAGTTGATCACGTAGTTTAGAAACTAATTAGTTTGGACGAACCTAACCAGCTGGTCTCTCTATCCATGGATCCACGCAGCGCGCTTAGGGAAACACTACGGCCAAAGCATTCCTACGTACACGGCCTGAACAACTGGTCTGCGACCACAGTGTATCGATACATGTTATGATGGTTATGGTGATGAACGACATCCTCCTACTCTAACGAGGAGACAAGCGTACCTATTGTTACCAGAGTGTTTATCAATGGCAAATTAATGTATATGGAGTGTTATTTTGACTGTTGAAAAAAGCCAGGCATAAAAGATACCGGTCGTTTATGTTACTTTCATTTTCAGTTCTTTATCTCTAAGTTCATAACCATTTTATAGTTCGCTACTAACATTAACTACTGTCCTACCTGGAAATATTCCTCAATACTATATCCTGGTTCTATCCGGTACGCTGTTGTCTTTCCGTTCCACTACCACGCTTAGTACTCCATTGTCTTACCTACCAACTCTGAAGACATGAAAGTGGCAACAAGACATCTACGGACGCTCTGAGCCCGATGAGGCTATGCGCCCTAACCCACGACCAAGACCAAGACCCAACGCGTGTGAAAGATAGAGTGGAAAGCATACCAATACAGAAAAAAGGTATTTATAAATTGGGATATGCGCGAATTTAATTATAATTAGGTAAAATGAAGCTATTAAACCTAAATCTTTAACCTAGGAAAGTGGTAATTGTTCGTTCAGTCTCATGTGATATGAGCCAGATTGAGATAACTGGCCTATAATTTGAATTCATTGACATCCAAGGACCAAGACTTGCGTTTTTTCACGAAGTTACCAGCTCTCCGTACCCTATAAGGACTTTGTGAATTGTGAGTGAGTAGTAAGATTACTATTCATTCTGCCAGTCTTGCCAATCTTTTGTGAGTAGGACACCGGTGGTGCGCGGCGATGTGCATATACTCAGTACTCACCTGGTCAACTCACCTGGTTGGGTTCCCAGTGTCATTTAGGAAGTCAGGAAGGAAGTGAGAAGTGGATATGAGGAACAGGAACCCTGAATCCGAGACACACCAGCCAAAGTTGAGTTCTTGTCTGAGGAAGATAATGAAGTACGAAGGCTGAGCGTCTTCCCTGATGATGATATGTTAAACTTTGGACTCTAAATTCAGCCATATAACCGAGATTGCGCGATCGTAGGGTAGAGGGCAGGGTCAACGCAATAAGCTTCACTCAGCGGGGGCTTGTCCTTGTGAATCTTTCCAATCAAAAGGGTCTAACTGAATTCATAAAAAAATACAAGACCATACAACACCATGTTCTTGTTGTTGTTGGAATAGGACACGTTGCCTTGCGACCCAAGCGTCCAACTTCACTGTAGTCGTTCTCTTGACTAGTAGTCACGTCCTTTCTTGTTCGGTACCAAGGTGTCGGTACTAAGCGGTACTAAGCGGGTGACAATGGAAGGAGTAAGGAGATACCAAGGTAAGGAAATTGCGCAGGGAGGAAATTGCCAGGGAGGAATAACCTTAGGAGGGAGAAGTTGATAAGTTGATGAAGAATCTTGAAGTTTATGTTAGTGTTAGTAGTTCAGCGTTATGTGAAGCGATCTAGCTATTTCAAATTGGAACCTGACCTGTTACCATACAACACCATACAACATACAAGACCATGTTTTGATCCCTCTTATAGGATGCCAATAGAGAAGAGGCTGTAGTGAGTGCAATGACCTGCAACAAGAATGGTCACAACAGTCAAACAAACACCTCTCATGCCCTGAAAGCTGACTTCCTTGATTGGGACTGTCAAATGTAAACTATTGAAGATGCAGAGGTGACATGGTAACACTAGGTAACCATCCCAGCCACAACAATTGGCCTCGCTGGGCTGTATCCGGCTTTACTCTGGCTAGCTCCAGCACTTACTCCAGCCGAAGTACGGGCAAGGTCTACTGGAGGCTCTACTGCAGCTGACATACAATCCAGAGCTTTCCCGTAGCACAGCCGGACTTTGCTGCAGCAGCCATGCCATACCTCAGCTGTACTACCGTGGCTGAAGTATGGTTGAGGTACGGCACTTGAGGTGAAGTGAAAGCCAGAGCAGCTACGCTACGAGACAGCCGGACCTGGCCGTAGCACGCCTTGGCAGGGAGCCAGACTCGAACCGGACTTGGCGGTCCAAAACCATGCCAACTAAGGAGTGCTACGGCTAAGACTGGCTAGCCAGAATAGAGCCATATCGACCAAAGCCATATCGACCCTGTTCCGGCGGCGTTCCGTTTACATCGGCCCAAATCTGGGGTGTCAGAGTTGCCGGAGCTAAATGGACTTCAGCCAAACCAAATTGCTGGCTGGGATATATCAGCTGCTGCACAAAGGGTTGATTATGTCACCAGGAATCTTTTTGACTTAGAACGATTCGGCTCAAACCAGTGGCCCCTCCGGAAAAACTCCGGAAATCCAGCTCCACCAAACTCATGCGCAGAAACGTGTTCTGCTTCACTGGCATAAGGAACTGGATTTTGTTCCTGAATGCAGCGTTCATGGCACAGTCTGTCGACCAGTTCAAGACCCGGCTGGACAAGCACTTGGGTGGTATTATGATTGACATCCCCTATCCCTAAGAGCCCAGCATACACCTACCCCAAAATGAGCTCAGTGAGAGCGGGATCCCTGGATCAGTTAGAGCGATGTAAATTCCTCATAAGCCCTCAATAACTCCACCGAAGGCCTCCGTTACCCCAATGGCCCCACTCTGTCAATCCCTGCTGTAGTCTGTAATTGTATTGGGCAGCTGTGCCTATTATAGGGTAACAGTGTTTCTTGTTTCTGTCTCCAGGTGGCAGTATGAGCGTCACTGAGCAGTTGCAGCGAACGCCGCGAGGCCGCCTGAAGTATGATCGACATAGGGTCTGCCTGCAGTCCTTTGAGGTAATTAATGGAAATGGAAATGTGGATCAAAAGTTTCTGGCGTTTCATGTTTTTAAATGCGTTTTTATTTTTAGCGTAACGGTTTTGCAAGCATCACCATTCACATGTTTTGTTTTGTTTTAGTTTGTGGAAAGTTTGTGGAAGACCAGATCTTTGTTTAGTTCGCGATCACCTGATTTTGTCGAGTGCTCTGTGCGTGTCCCTTAGGTATGATGATGTCTCGCGACATCCGTACCGCCTGTCGATGTTCCGTTGCACGTGTCCTGCTCGTGTCTCACAACTCGCACCCTGTCCGTGACTGATTCCACGTGCCCCGTTCGAATATCGCCAATACCTCGTTAACCGTGCTCTGTTCGTGCCACAGGACGTTCTGGATGAGATTCACTCCGAAATGGAGTCCCTCCAGGTGCGCGTGGCCGTGCCGCGCTCACCGGCCGACTATTCCTCACCGCCGAGCTTCGGTCTCGCTTCTTCTGACGACGAGGACAGTAACACGCCTCTGCACCCGCGGGTCACACGCATGACCTGCCGCGGACCCTGGTCTCCGCGCGCTTCCGGCTCTGTCAGTAAACCCACCCGACAGAGCTTCGCCAGTGTCGGCTCCGTGACGAAATCTCCAGATGGGAGGAATGAGAGTGGGGTAGAGGAAAAGTCTGAGCACAGTGTGGAGAAAGACAATGAACAGACTGTGCGGAGGAATATCGAGACGAGTTTCCAGCGGAGCAGGGAGGAAGATCAGAGTCCTGAGAGGGGTGTGGATGAGGAAAAGCAGAAGCAGAGGACCAGCACCCCGCGGCATGGCTCGACACCCACCCCCTTTACGCCGAGGACTTTCGACAAACTGATCCACGATGAGAGGCAGCGACATCTGGAGCAGGCCAAGGTGGGTAGATGGCGGAGGCTCAGGGGCGTCCGTGACAAACAAAAGTCCTAACGAGCGGTAGATTCTCTCCTTCCACGTGAGCCTGCCGTTATGTCATGTGTCAAGTATGTGAGATGTGAGGATGTCTGGTCGTCACCCTTGATACCTATGCTTTGTCAAATGAGCTTGTTGTGCTGATATGTAGACAAAGTATCAATGGCGTGAAAGGGTTGAGCTTTTTTATTCTAAGCGAAATGTATCTGGACAATTTGTCATGTGTCAGATTCAAGAATTGTGTCCCAGCAATACCTATCTCCATTGGTGTACCATATTTTCCCAGCGTATATATCAGGACACGGACGTGCCAAGCTAGCTAGGCCTTTCAGCTCTAAGCTCTGTAGTGGCTCCCCAAACTCCGCTCAATCATCGCACTGCTCACCATGTGAACCCCCGACAGGCGGCGGCTCGCGCGCGACTGGCAGCTGCTGAGGAGACGGTGCGCCGTCTGCGTGAGCAGCACGAGCAGCGTCAGCGACAGCTGGCGGTTGAACAGCAGCGGCGCAGTCGTCAGCAGCACGAGCAGCGCACGATGCAGCGGCAGCGCAGCGAGCAGCAGCTCCGGCAGCAGCAGGAGAGCATGCGCCAGCAGCAGCAGCTCGATGCCAAGGTACGGGCGCGGTGATTGGTGAGGGAGAAGGAGGGATGGACGGCGTGGGTGAGTGCCTATTGTACAGGCTGACTTTGTATGATGGTCGTTCGGCACGCTTTTGGGCCACAAAACTTCAGAAACCTACCCTATATCTACTCCCTCCCCTCATCTGACCTTAGTGACCCCCCCCCCCAGAACCTCATGAACGGGTGCAGGCGACCGTTCAGCAATAGCTTACTAACTCATTAACCCTCGCTCCTCTGAGGACCTCAGTGCGCGTGTCCAGGCGGCCGTTCAGCAGCACGTCTCACTATTTCTCCCCCTGACCTCCCTCAGGACCTCGGTGAGCGTGAACAGTCGGCCGTACACTAATATCTCACCATTCCTCCCCCCTCAGGACCTCGGTGAGCGTGAACAGTCGGCCGTACACTAATATCTCACCATTCCTCCCCCCTCAGGACCTCGGTGAGCGTGTACAGTCGGCCGTACACTAATATCTCACCATTCCTCCCCCCTCAGGACCTCAGTGAGCGGGTACAGTCGGCCGTACACTAATACCTCACCATTCTTCCCCCTCCCCCTCCCCCTCAGGACCTCAGTGAGTGTGTACAGTCGGCCGTACACCAATACCTCACCATTCCCCCCCCCCCCCTCAGGACCTCAGTTACAGGCTGCCGTGCAGCTGCAGCAGCACGTCCTCACCTCTCCCTCCCCCCTCAGGACCTCAGTGAGCGGGTACAGGCGGCCGTTCAGCAGCACGTCTCACCATTCTCCCCCCCCCCCCCCTCAGGACCTCAGTGAGCGTGTACAGTCGGCCGTACACCAATACCTCACCATTCTTCCCCCCCCCCCTCAGGACCTCGGTGAGCGTGTACAGTCGGCCGTACACCAATACCTCACCATTCTTCCCCCCCCCTCAGGACCTCAGTGAGCGTGTACAGTCGGCCGTACACTAATACCTCACCATTCTCCCCCCCCCCCCCTCAGGACCTCGGTGAGCGTGTACAGTCGGCCGTACACTAATACCTCACCATTCTCCCCCCCCCCTCAGGACCTCGGTGAGCGTGTACAGTCGGCCGTACACTAATACCTCACCATTCTTCCCCCTCCCCCCTCAGGACCTCGGTGAGCGTGTACAGTCGGCCGTACACTAATACCTCACCATTCTTCCCCCCCCCCCTCAGGACCTCGGTGAGCGTGTACAGTCGGCCGTACACTAATACCTCACCATTCTTCCCCCTCCCCCCTCAGGACCTCGGTGAGCGTGTACAGTCGGCCGTACACTAATACCTCACCATTCTTCCCCCTCCCCCCCCCTCAGGACCTCAGTGAGCGGGTACAGGGGGCCGTGCAGCAGTCACTATCTCTCCCCCCCTCAGGACCTCTGTGATCGGGTACAGGCGGCCGTACAGCAGTCACTATATTCTCTCCCCCCCCCCCCTCAGGACCTCAGTGAACGGGTATAGTCGGCCGTACAGCAGTCGCTATCTCTCCCCCTCCCCCCTCAGGACCTCAGTGAGCGGGTACAGGCAGCCGTACAGCAGTCACTATATCTCTCCCCCTCCTCCCTCAGGACCTCAGTGAGCGGGTCCAAGCGGCCGTGCAGCAGCAGCAGGCAGACGAGGAGGAGCGGCGCCGAAAATCCGCCGAACAGCGCGCCAACCTCGACCGCATGGTGGCTGCTCAGAAGGAGATGCGCTCCATCGTGTCACAGGTCTTCACCAGCATCAAGTGAGTGACCCGTGGGTGGAGAGCTGTAAAGGTGTGGTTTACATAATGCGCATGGATTGTAGTGGTGTGTTTATATAACGTGACACGGGCAGACCAGTCATTAGTGGGAACTTTGAACGCAGTGACCGGGTGGATAACTTCTATTGTTATTGCTAAAACATTGGTACTTGCTGCAACTGGTTATTGCTTCAGTGGCATGTTCAGCCATATAATGCTTGCCGTAAAATCAAATATCGTGACGTACTCGGATTAAACACGAACGTGATCCATGAAGGCTAGACGATGTAGACAGTTGCGTTTTTGATGATTAATTGCATATAAGCTGAATGAAAACACTCTATGGACTAGCTGAATATAAAAAGCATCGCTGCTTCACGTTGCTAGGATTTTCTGCGATGGTCTTGTACCGAATTATTGGCGTATGTACAAGTGAAGCATTCAACCTAGGCTGGACAGTTCGTTCGCGATATCTCGTTTTTTATTGCTTTGGTTATATAAGCGTACTCTGGCGAAAATGGAACGAAAGGCTTTTATGGACATAGAAGGCTCACTCGAGCTACATTACTTTTTAGAACGTTTGTCCCTTGTTTTTTACGACATGTTGACCGTTATTGAAAAAGCTGGGCAGTACCTGCATATGACTTGTATAACATTAGCGTTCCACTTACGCGGGCTGGACCAATAACGCTATTTCTATGCCTGAAGAGAGTTCAGTTTTCAGCATTAGCTCATGGTCGTTTTTTATGCATTCGTACTCAATTTTCATTTACTTCTTCCACCATCTATTCATCCGCTCTATATTTATCCTTACCTCCCTCCCTCCTTCCTCCTGGAATGGACTCAGGTCGAACCCTCCCATCGACCATTGCCCCCCCCCCCCCCCGCTGGTTTCAAGGGCTGATCGGCACGGCGTAACCTCCCCCCTGCCCCGCCGGTTTCAGGGGCTGAGTAACCTCCCCTCTCCGCTGACATCTCCCCTGTTCCGCCTGTTTCAGGGGCTGCGCGGACATCTCTCGGCTGCAGGACGGTCCGGCGGCCGGTCAGGTGGAGCGACTAAAGCAGCTGCTCTCCGCCATGGACCGGCTGTCGACCGCCCCGCCGGCCGAGCTCGATGTACCCGAGGCCGAGCGGGCGGTCGCGGAGGCCACCGAGCTGGCACGGAAGATCACCGCTGTTGTCGGTCAGTGCTGGATGGGTGTGGATGATTAGATATGATGTGAGAGAGGGAGAAGGCATCATGGGGCCGGGTACCTGGTGTGAGCTAGGGTCAGATGTGATTTCTTTCTGCATCTGCTGTCAGCTGTGTTTGGTTTTGGGTGAAGTGATGGTTGTTTAGCGTGCTTGCTTCCATTGTTATGACATATTTGTTTCGTGCTTGACCTTATTCCTTAATTAGTATTTGTTTCTTCGTTATTAATTGTGTTGTACGTCAATTGAGTCAATTCCAATAATGAAAATATGGTGCTCTTGATTTAAATTATGTAAAAGTGTAGAAGCAGCTATCCCCATCTGGGTCACACTCCTGTGAAAAACACTGTCTCCTCGCTGAGCGTGCGTCTAATCACCGGTCTCCCCAACCTGACACCACCTTCCTGGCTCCACAGATGAGATCAACGCCGCCGCTCAGGCTGCCAAAGACGCCAAAGCGGCAGCGGCGGCGGCGACCGCAGCGGCAACTGCGGCGGCCGCTGCACAGCCCGTGGCCGCCCCGGTGGCCGCACAACCGAGCACAGGTGGGCTGCGGTTTGTCTCTGTATAGCCCATCAGAGGCAGGCGTTTCGCTCACTCCCTCTCTCCCTCGGTTTCTTACAGTTAGATCACTGCCGTAGCGCGGATCCTCACTACCACACCGTTGAGCCCCGAGCTGGCCGATCTCGGCCCTGACCGGCCCTGTCTGTCGCACAGGCCCCGGCCAGCTGGGTGACGCCGTGCTGCCGGAGGACAACACCCGCTACGAACAGGTGCAGAAGGCGGCGGCAGAGTTCCGCGCTCAGTTCGCCAGCCTGCTGGCAGACCCGGCGCTCAAAAAGTTCAAGTTTGATTGCCAGGTATGTTGTAATGGACAATGGGCATGCGGTTTTGCTATGTTTGTCCTATGGTGTTGGTATCCAGCTATTCAAGCGTAACTGAATTGAGGTGTCTTTTTTATTGAATGATGTGTTTGGTCGTTTGAAGCTGCTCTCTAGACATGTCCTGCGGCTTTTGACCGTAATGTTTCTGAGTTAGATCTGAAACGAGGACGGCAAATCACGGGCCACTTTGGAGGACAACCATTAGCTGTGAGACGTGTTCTGTAGAATGTGCACGCAGCCCCATTCGCCAAAGTCGAATTCAACGCACACGGACCCAATTGTTTGAAAACTAAATAGTTTGATATCGACGTTATCGGCAGTTCAGGCGAGGGTATTTTGACTGGATATCTGCTGCAGCGTGAATGTTAGTTCAGGTTGAGTTTAAAATGAATCGACTACATTTGATAGTTATAACTTAAAGGCATGCTACTTATTTCTCACATCACAGATAAGTTTGAAGACTTTTGAATTTTGATTCTTCTCTGAATATACGCAACGCTATATTTGAATCGTATTTCTCGATTAAGATTCTTTCATAGCCTCAGAATATTTGCCTAAAACGAAGAACGATCGACAAACGCAGACGCGAGGCTGGCGCATTGGAGCACGATTGCCACATTGCGCGATCCCACGGGCCAACAGCGAGCTAGTTAGTCTGAATTCACCACCAATCAGGCGACTGGTCGAAACTCTGCCGTGAGAAGTTGTTTGTGTGTTTGTTTGTAAGCGCTTGTGTGTGCTCGCGTGCGTGTGTGGGTGTGTTGGACCGTCCGCTTCGGCCACAGTTCCGTCCCCGGCAGACCATTATCTCAGGTCACACACTCGGACTGTCACAGTCCGAAAGGGTCACCCACACTGGCCACTTTAAATTCACGGACGCTACACCGATACGGACTCGTGGAGCGTATCGGAGAAGTTTGACGAGTGGGACAGCTCCCTCACTCTCTCTTCCAACTCTCTCACTCTCTCCTCTCGGTCGCCGTGTCTTCCGGAGACTAGCCCGAGGTCATTTATCAGGAACTGACGGAAGTTTCCATGCACGCACGCTACATGCGATTTGCTCACTCCGTATGGTGTGTGCTGAAACCGACCTGGCCGGACGTGGGTACATACATCCATGAGCATTGGGCATGGCTGGATGTGAGACTGCGGCTCGCGTTACAGCTGGCTGGCTGCTATGTGGAGAATAGTTCTTGGATTTCATTCAATCTGTAAATATGTGCACTTTCGTGTTCTAATATGTCACAGATACAGGGTGAGGTATCGGCGCTAAAGGTCAGCATGGAAGTATCTTAATCTTGTAGTAGCTGACCTTCGTCAAACCCCAGTAACAATACCAGGCCCTCATGTGTGCAAAACGGTGCGGTGCTTTACCAACTGGCCATGGAATCACACCTAGCTATTCATACCATCATCCAACCTCCATCCGTTTATAATACCCAGATGTTTTGAACTTCGGACACAACCCAGCATTCTTTGCTTCTTTTACGATAATGATCCATGGCTGTCTTGATGCCTTTCGTCCACACTCATCTAACCCCTCCTCGTCCCACAGAAAGCGGTGAACACGCCGATAAACGCCATCTCGCCTGTATCGACGGCCCACCTGCGGGACAAGCTGGACAAGCTGCGTCAGCTGCTGAGGGGCCAGCCGGTGGCCGTGGCCGGAGGTCAGGTCAGCGCCGCCTCGCACCCCAACGGAGTCGCCTTCTGTCTCGACCTGGTCGCCAAAAAGTTTGTGGTGAGTAGATATTGTGTGCTGTGCCGCAAGGTGTGACCGTGCGTCGTGGGTCTAAGCGTAAATAGCCTGTATTCGACGCGCCCGTACACCTCATTTATCCAAGGAGGTAACTAGGCTGCGTTTTTGGTTTCAGAGTTAGTTGCGTTATTTCTGTGAGTGTGTTCGTAATTTGTGTGAATGGTTTTATTTAGTTCTTAGTGAGAAACTTTACCAGAATGAAGTTAGCCGCTCTCACGCGACGAGGGGATGAAATGTGTTATCAAATGGTCGATTATGCATAATTTGCCTGTTTTTCCTATAATGAATATCGTAACCAGTTCCAAGTCCAAGAAAATAGCGTGAATTGAGGTAATGTTTTCTGGTGCGATAGTCCTCTTTACATGCTTTTGTTAAATGCGTATAAAGGCTCCCGAAAAACGCACCTGGAAAGTATATACTTTTTTGACGGCATGATATACTCTACTTTATAGCTATTTATGCATTATGCTATTAATTACTTTATCGAAAAAGTGTTCTCGATTTCTAGCCTTTATAATACCTATACAGTGCAAACGTACGTATGCTTAGTTTTTTTCTCAAACCTATAGTTAAGCTTTCTCGCGGACTTAACGCGGTTTTTTTTATCCGGTTGTGAGTAGCTGGTTGGCGACGTTTCATCGAAAACAGTTTGTGTGCGTCGGCTAATGGCACTTACCGTTATTTGCTTCTCTTGCAGTACTCCCTCAGTAACTTTTACTTCCACAAAGACTTCAACGATTGTCTTACGCCCATTGAAACCTTGCATCTACAGACGGTGTTTTCATGAGGATATCAATGTAAAAATAGGTATGGGACGTTTTCCTCGGCCGTTGATATTAAACCTGCGCCGTAGCGGTGGTCCGCTTGAAGCCCCAGGCCTGAAGTGTTGGTGGGCGTTTTTACATCACCTGCCACCCAGCTTCTAGGCCTTGTAGCAGAAGACGGCACACCGTGTTCAAAAGCTTTCATATCAAAAGTCTGTCAATAGTTACTAAATACGGAATTAAAGGCTCATAATACGGAAAGGTAAGCAGTCATCGAAGTCAAGTTAAATTGACCATCCCACCTTAACTCTCGCCGGCCGAGGGGGGGGGGAGGGGGTGACGCCCCCCCCCCATAGGGTTTTTTTTCGCGATAGCTCCGAACACGCTGGCGCTAGAGAGCTGAAACTTGGCATACCTGACCTTTGATTCAAACCAGATCTTTTTACCTCAACCGCATTTTTGGGTCAGGTCAGGTCACTGACCTATGACGTCATAAGTGAACCTCTGCACGGTCTTCAGATTTCGCAACTTCGCAACGCCCTCACTGCCAGAGGAGATGTCACAGGGAAATGAAACTTGCAGGATCTAGTATCCATTATGAGTCTCACAACTTGTATATCTCGGATTTTTCCTTAAGGTCATGTGAGGTCAGGTCATTTTCCGCAACAAGTTTCTCCCTAGGGCGTCGAGCGATTAATCAAAGTTTATGAAGCTTGACGCACGGCATTGGCTGGTAAATGAATTAGGTATCGCAAAGCTGAATCGGTAGTGCAATTTAATTGGTACGACGCATTGCACTGAGCGCTGATAGTATTCCGATGCATCTCTCTTTCCTGGTAATATAAGGCTTCTCGCTTCCTTTCTCATCGCGAAGCGCTGAAATGGCTGAAATACGACTTTAGCTCAGGAGGCCAATCATATAATTGACGAAGAGCATCAATACGGTTCTAAAGCGGCTTGCGTTGGAGGCGGTCGCAGTTTTATCCCCATTGCTCCCGGGCTGGCCGGTGGTCATCCGCAGCAACGTTGTCTTAGCTCTGTAGCGGGGCAAGATATTATTATTTGTTTGATTTGCGAGGCTGGTCAGTCACTGGGGCATATAGGCTGCTACAGTGTACGGTGATGGGTCATTGGGTTATGGGCATTCAAAGAGGATAATTTACTCAGGTTGGCTGCCCGAGGCTCTCTCTCAACCGGTTGGGACCCCCTTTAAATACGTTTACTTGAAACAGAAGAAACGACACTTCACATCACAGTCACATCCCGGCCACTGCACGGAGGGGTACCTCCCACTGGATATACCACATTCACTCTTCGACTCACTCTAACTTAGCCTAACCTAACCTACCTAACCTAAAAACATAACCTAACGTAGCATAATCATGCACTCAAACACACATCTCACACACACGAAAAACGCCAGACTATCAGTCCGCTCCCTCCCTCTTTACCTAACTCTCCCCCAGTGGTGCACAGTGACAAGTTAATGCAAGCTTGTTAGATGTCATTTCCCTGCCCATGTAAAACGTAGCTGGTGTATTAGGCTGCGGATCACCCTGCCGCCAAGATAGAACACATGAGCAGCCTGCTCCCAAAATAAAAACAAAAAACAAAATGGTCATAACCTCCCCTTCCCAAATAATTCCTAAATACCAGCACTGATCCTAATCTATCCTTATAATTTCAACAACATCTCGTTCAGTGGCGACATAAGTTTGACGATCGCAGGCATGATCTGACTTGTCTAATCTATCCCGTCTCCGACTTAAGCTAGTAAAAACGACAGCGGAGGCCTAAAACCTAACATCAAGGGAGAATCTAATGCCAGGCCGGATTTTCCCTGCTTTGTAGAGTCCAACTCTCTTCCCCTCTCCCTTGAGCCTTAGCCGTGACCGCGACACGGCTATTTATTTTGCCCGTCTTACGCCGTAGAAACCGCCCGAGACATAGAACGAGAACGACCATGCAAGAGCAAAACATGCTGCGCGCGTCGCCCGCGATCACCATTGTTGAGCCGTCGATTTATCAACTTTTATAGAGAACCTAAAGCAAAACCTATCCAATCCCGAATTTCGTAGCATCTTCATCGCCTAACGATCCTTCGAGCTACAAACCACCTATCAACATAGCCCTAGCGCCTACTTCAACTGGAGCCCGCTCCCAGTAACCCTACAATGACCTGGTTCCCCTGAACCGACCTCCATACATACTTATTTCCCTTGCCACTTATTTACCGCATCAGGCCAGTTTCCGGATCACCAGATCCAATACCAGATCCTTCTCCGACCAAACCTATTCAGAAAGCAGTATTCCCCCTGTAACCCAGCCGTTTTAACCTACCGTTCCGGAACAAACCAATCGCTAAAATTAAGCACCTCTAAATCGCCAACGTTAAACCCCCTACCACTGATGCTTTAACCAATAATCCTATTTGTACGTTTAAAATGAGTTTCGGCCCAAATGCCATCAGATCAATCATAACTACACATTCAATCGTTCAACCCAGACAAAAACCCGTCCCATCACCCGTAGGCCGTAAGTGTAGACAACCGTGTCGATGAACACAACGTACACGGGGGTACGACACGCATAGACTGGCCTCGCAGCCCCGAATTATTCCCTAATATAGTACCTCTTAATTCGATACGATTTATCTTAATTGCTTTCCTCGAGTTTTACCGATAAGCATTTTTGTAGAGCGATAAAAGACCGTGTTCTAATTTCGACAAACCATGTAACTCTGACAAAGCATTAACTCAACCCATTCGTGAGAGAGAGAGAAAAAAAACATTGTCCGGCTCAAACAATTGGAAGTTGTAATCGATGCCTGACCCTAGTTCAATCATCGGTAATGTTTATGTCAATCCGGGTATAATTGTTAATGACTCGATGGTCCGTGTAGCGATAGCCGCTCTCAGTGGGCCACAGGTCACCTCTGACTGCGGGTTCGGCTCAGCCATTGTTGTCCCGCACCCCAGCGCGGTGCGAGCAGCGAGGGTCACCCGCCGATCCCCTGATCATTAGCACAGCCGAGCCCGTCCGGCCCGGGCGTCGCCGCGCCTGCGGGTTGGGGTCCATTTCCCCACGCGTCCCGAGACAGCACCTCCTCCGTGACGTCATGCACGCAGCAGACCCGACGACGCAATCGTGGATTACCGACTGACGACATGAAACGCGTGCTGGTAGCTATAAGTACGAGAGAGAGAGAGAGAGAGAGAGAGAGAGAGAGAGAGAGAGAGAGAGAGAGAGAGAGAGAGAGAGAGAGAGAGAGAGAGAGAGAGAGAGAGAGAGAGAGAGAGAGAGAGAGAGAGAGAGAGAGAGAGAGAGAGAGAGAGAGAGAGAGAGAGAGAGAGAAGAGAGAGAAAGAGAGAGAGAGAGAGAAAAAGAGAGAGAGAGAGAGAGAGAGAGAGAAAGAGAGAGAGAGAGAGAGAGAGAGAGAGAGAAAAAGAGAGGAGGGGGAGACATACATACATGCAGACAGACGGACAGACAGAGAAAGGGAGCCAGATGGAAGCAGATGGCCGAACGTATAGATAGACTGACGAACGAATGGACGGACGAGTCAATGGGTCGCCAACCAACAGACCGGCGTACTGACAGACCGTCAAACTGACAGACCGACGTACCATCAGACCACCAGACCATCAGACCATGAACGGCAAACCGACAGACTGACAGGTCAACAAGCCGACAGACCGGCTGGCCGACACTCAGAGACTGCATTACCAATCAATCGGAGAAGACTGATAGGAAAGGTGGAATGTCGATAGATCACATTCTTACACGCGTCGCATCCATGCTCCGTCTTCAGTCGGTGCTCTACCACCGCGTCGAGTGATCGTGTGCCGCCGTCGGACCTAGCGCCCCATCCCAGTTTCCCTGTGAACCCGCGCTGGACGGCCAGTGGCACGCGTTAATTGCTCTAGCCACCGCAGAACCGGCAGCCGGGACCGACCGGGTGCCCAAAGATGGCCGCTTCTCTCGACCGGCGCCGGCCCCCCCACCGCCGGCGCGCCGGCGGGTCACCGTCTGATCAGCCGCCAGGTAACCCCTCCCCACGAGCGGGACACCCCCTCCTTCACACACATTCCTGGGGATTAGCCGGGTCGGCGGCCGCAGCCGGCTGATGGGCCCGGACGGTGCGTGCAGAGACATTTAAATCGTTCATAAACGGTATTGATATCGTCGTTAATTGTCGGAGATAATGAGCGGCGTTCGGGCAAATTTAAAGTTAAGCTTAGCAAAATCGTTCTGGCCACACTCGATCAGAATCGTGAAATCAAATGATGATTATGGGGTATATTGCCGGAAATACAAACCAGGTAACGTTAACTGTTAGGTAGAGCATGTTAATTTCACAGGTAGGTCACGTCTCGATTAAATGATAGTGGAGCGGAAACAAAATGCCGGCCAATTAAATATACTTTAAATCATAACTGAGTCGTCAAGATACTAATCTCATCTCGGGCATACGTTAATTCACGTCAAATTTGACTGGCTTTTGCTTGAGCTCGGGCACCCAACCCGCCGGAAATGACAATTTCGGAAATGAAAATTTTTTGGTCGTTAATGACTTATGGGTTTTGTTTCGCATATTTACCAACCCTGAAACCTAGAAGACACTCGTCGTTCAGCACTGAGTTACGCTACATACTGAATGAAGTTACGCATGGATTTTTGGGGCTAAAACGCTCAAAACTTATCGTTACGCTAATCCACAGATAGTGAGAAATAAACAACGTTTACCGGACATTGAAGCGATCGAGTATATACTGCAACGTACGTCGATTTGCACTGGATCAAAATTAATTGAATCCCATCGTGCTAAATAAAAAATTATCGTGATAAATACTAAATCGTGCTGAATAATTAAATAATAAATCCGGCCACATAATTACGAAAAAACCTGACAGTACTACCGACGCAAATGCCTGTTTACTTTGATGGTCTCGAATCAGAGCTCTATCAAACAACAACCACGAGGACAACAACAACCCAGTATGATGTAGTGTGACCTCCCACCGGTGCCTGTGTTCCGAAAAAAAAAACATGCCAACGTGTGAACGGTGTCAGAAACGGTGTTCTGCTCGGCCCTCCCATTCTCTCCGAAGTCCGAGTTCTCTCGTTCTCTCCTTCAGCACTTTCATCTCGTCAAGTTAATCCATTCATGTTTCCCTCCCAAATAGCCCCAACAGATGTGAGTACTTTTTCAAGATATATTCAGCCAAAACGAAGGAAGAGAAACTAGCAGTGAAACGACAGAGTTTTCAAAGATAAGCAAAACTAGACTTAAACTAGCCATAAACCATAGTGAACTGAGTCGATCCCCAAAACAGAGTGCCAGATTACCTATGTCAACTTTAAACTAAATAGCTACTACGTAAAGTGCCGTCCTTTGAGCCTGCAACTGAATATTAGACAACCGGCTGGAGTAACCGAGACGAACGTAGCTGAGCATCACACGCATTTTGAAGAAAGTTCTACCGCCTTTCGCGTAATGAAGGCCAAAATTCGTCCCAATGGTCCGTCACTCTGATGCGCCCGGGTGCTCACATTTACACTCACGCACGCACACATTCAAGACCAGCCCTACCCCGCTTTAGACAAAATTGCAGATTTAAGTCTGTTAAGTGACAAAATGATACATATCCCAACCATCCCCCTTTTGATACCCTACAGCAAGGAGCAATGCCGTTAACTCATTCAACAATTACACGCTCACGCATACGTACATAACATGTCCCAGCCACTCCCATTTTTTATCTCCAGATCAAGGCGCAAGGCCGCTCAATCATACAAGTTCACACGCTCACGCATACGTACAGATCTCCCCCCCCCCCAAACAGGCCTAAATAAAATTACATCCCCGGGGCGAGAGAAAAGCCGGGGCAGCAGGCGGGGCACATTGGGGAAGGATTATGATAGGAAAGCAGCTTCATGACCTCCAGTGCCGACCTACCGCTTAGCTGTTGGCTGTGGACGACAGGGCTGACGGCCGGCTGGCAGCAGATTTATCGGCGAGCGGGCGGCACAGCGACGACGGACGGGTGGCAGAGTTGGCGGCAGCCCGCGGAGCGGTGGTGGCGGGCGGCAGAACGGCGGAGCGGCGCAGAGTCCTCCAGTGGCAGGCAGTCCTCCATCCTCCTCCTCCAGAACTATCACCGCCGACTCCTCCTCTCAAACTCTCCTCTCCGCTCGAACTCACTCCCTCCATCGCCTGTCCTTCTCCATCCTGCCGCTACAAACTGACTGTCTCGCCCACCTCTGAACTCCACTTCCCAGCTCTCCAACTCCAACTGAACTGCCGCCTGTCAGCGTCCCCAACGCCTCCGACTCTCCAACTCCAACTGAACTGCCGCCTGTGAGCGTCCCCGACGCCTCCGACTCTCCAACTGACTCTCTATCCTCAAAATCCTCAAAGTTTTGCTGGAGCTCCATCTGCCTCGGGCTGTCTCTAGAGTTGCCGTCTTCGCTCCGCCTCTTTCTTCCGAGTTCTGCTGTTCTCTGAATTTCCAGTAAGGGCCAATTTTCCAGGTCTTCTGTCCGTCTAACCAGTCTTCTGTATTTTCTGCTGAGTCTGGTTGCCGAAAGGGTGAGATTTCTATTAAATTTAACGTTATGTTGGGCCGAAACGTATGCGTTTTTCCGCTGTGCAGCCTCCGGCGTGCCGTTTCCATGGTGACTGCTATCCTCTCTGGGTGCTCCTCCTCCCTTCAAATATTCTGGCGCCGATAGGTGAATTTGAATCTTCTGCCCCTGGCGATGCCGGCAGATTTGCCACGCCGGCCAGGTTTGCCAGCGTGGGAAGATGGGCCCGGGAATGCGGATGTGCCGTGCCATGCTGGAATTTGGATATTGTTACTCCGTCGGCTGTCCCAGTTTCACGATGCTGATTGTCGGCGCCAGTCTCGGCACATCCTGGAAATGTGCTATTTCGAGCCGTGTTTTGAAGAAATTGCCTTTGAAGTGTGATACCGGTGGTCAATTTGGTCCCGGGCGCCCCGGCCTCCCGCTGCCGCAGCGGCGCTGTCGTGTCCTGTTTCCCAGGCTGACGGTGTCCGTTCGCCGCGCGTAGGAGGCTGCGTGCCTTTGTCCATCCGTCCCCCCCCCTGACCGGGGTTGGGACCCATTGCTGGACCCTTCCACGGTCAGCGACGGTGAGACGGCTCTGTAAGGGCCGCAGGATAATGGCGTTTGGCGGCGCAGTCTCAGATCCGTGTTTGTCCTGCCGTCCGGTGTCGGCCAGATGGTCGGCGGGTCAGCGGTGTCCGGTCGCCGGCGCGCTGCTGTTTTGAAGGATGAATTTGGGAACGGGTTGATTTGGGGAGGGAAAATGAAACGCGCCAGCGTTACATTTTCATAACCATCTTCTTTGAGTCGCGCCCCCGCGACTCGGGGTTGGAGCCGGCTGCAAAAACCTTGAGGGGAGATGATGAAACCTGAGAGACTTATGGGTAGATGAGGTGGGTGGTTAATTAGCGTCAACAGAAGGATGTGGCAGGACGAGGACTTAGCCCTGCCCGCTGGTCTCCTCACTCACCTCGGGGTGCACTGCGCCAGTTCGATCATTCCCTAGCATACACACAGTACATACACAGCGAGCAGACAAGACACGCATTTCCACAACATTCATCGAGGTCCATAGCGCTATCATCGCCCCTCCACTCGCTCAGAATTGACCCGGAATCCGCGCATCCGATCTTTCTCTTGCATGGATGGGAGAACGAATCACAAGTACCTATTCCTAATAAATTGTTGTGTTTTTGCAAAATGCTGCAACACTGCCTACACATCACTTGATGTCTGTGTGTCCCTTCCAGTCCTTAGGGGGACAGGCCTGGGTATTACACCCGCGGTGACCACGTAGACACTGCTGAGTCAGGTGTCGTAATTGAGTTCGGCAGCTGCCCCAGCTCCCGCTCCGTCTGGTGGGCAGCTGCTGCCCACTGTAGCCAGGAGAGCCGGCTGCGAAGCGGACCCTGGGGCAGGCGAGACTAGCCCCTGGAACCGTCCTCGCCAGCTCCGCCTTCCTCCGTCCGCCTACTGTAGTCGGATGACCAGGCGCGGCACCGCCCAAGCGGTGGGCGGCGCACCCCGGCTGTCACCTTCGCCAGCTCCGCCCTGGTGGTATATCCCCAGACCTGCAATAGAGAAACGGGGAAGGGATGGCGCCGGAAAGTAGCCCGGTGATGATGGTGTAGCCGATTGATGCCATTCTGCTGCGTCCTCGCCTCCGTAATGGCCTCGCCTCCGTCCGGACTGGAACCGGTTGACGCCCCCTCCTCCGTCTTCCTATCAGCATTGGCTCCCGCCAGTCCGCTCCAGTTGTCTCAGCTCCTCACCATCCCTCTCGGTCAGGTCCGGTTTCGTGCCTTCTCCTTTCTCCTTCCTCTGGATAGCTGCTACGGAATGACGTCAGCCCGACGGATCCCTGCTGACAGAGCCGGAACATTTCAGCCTCGACTCCGTGGCCAACGTTTGCGGGCCACTGAATGGACCAGCCACCCGTGTTCGAAAGCCAGAGGTTGTCCGCTGTCTCCCGTCCATCTCCGCCGCCCTGCTTCGGTTGCCGCCGTTGCCTCCTGTGATTGAGTTCTGCCTTTCAACATCTTTCTGGATATAATGCTCAATCCTACAACATCTTCATATCTCCTCGGCCAGCCCGCGTTTCAATACTAATATTACCAAACATAAAACTGCCCATCTTTACGATACAGCTGCTAAACGCCTCCTTTGGTGATTCAGTTCAGCTTTGCACCTCCTCCTGGGTAAAATGTTCAGATCTACAACATCTTCCAAAATATTACTGCTCAATACTTCAACATCTTCATATCATCA